GCTCTTTCTCTTTCTCCTCTCTCTCTCCATCGCCAGTTCCTACTCTTTCGCCGCAATCTTTTCTCTTCCTCCTCTATCGAGCCGTTCGTTCTTTCACTTGCACCTCTCTGTCTGCCAGCCCCCCTCTTGGCCCCCCAGTGCCGTTCAAAACTACTCGTTCCGCGCGAGTAGAATTCGGTGGTCGTGATACAGCACGCCAGACGATTCCTTTTACCGGCACACTTGCTCCGATGTTTTTGCTTTCTCCGCTCCTTTTATCTTGTCTTTCTGTCGTTGTGATCGTTTGTTCATTCTTTTTTTTTTTCTCTCTTTTCTTTCGTTGGCTGGTCGTTCGGCGTTTCGATCCCGTTAAAAATCGGGGGATGACGAGCGTTTCGCAGTTTCGACAAACAGAGTCACGTGCGCGTTTACATCACGGGGAACGAACAGTACGAAACAGTTCTCGTTGCTTCTACGAACTAACGGAGAACGGTCGTGACATCGAGACTGATCGCTCGCGCATTTGTTCGGTCAACGAAGCAGTTGACCCGTCGCTAGAGATACACGCAGAGAACGATCCATCAATTAGGTCAGCCGTTCTCCGTGCTCTAGCCACCATCGGATGAAGAAAGGGAAGGGAGCAAGGGGGAGGAACGAAAGTACGGAGCTGGTATCTGCCCGATGCTACGCGAGAGCGACACTTTCGGTTTCACCTGAATTTTTTGAAATTGAACATTTTCTCGAACGCTACTCCAGAAAATGGAGCTAAATGTGGTGTCAGAACTACGTATGCGTGTCTCGTAGCTATACTAGATGATCTCGATAGGTGACGCCTTAAAATATACTTACAATTTAAAAAAATAGAGAGAATTCGTTCGAAACGAAAAGAATACGCACGCAGCATATCAAATGCTGACAGTTTAAACCCTTTGTAATCCTGTAACGCGGAACAATGGTAGAGGAAAAATGGTAGTCACAGTCGAGGCCTTGAGTAAAAGAAAAAGGTTCACGCGATGTTGAAAGTGAAAGAACAGGGCCAAGAGAGAACAAATTGGTACCAAGCTGTTTAGAACGATCCCCCTTAATCGGATAGCCAAGTTTATCTCGAGCTCCGAAAGAAAACGACCAAGATACCATTGTGATCGACGTTCGTCTTCGAGTAAGCCAACATCCAGATATTCCTCCAGGTCTGTGTCTTTGTTGCAGGTCAGTTCGCGAAAGAAAATAATGGTCTTGAGAAGGATTTGCTCGATCGCGCGTGTCGGGCTGCTCGTTACGAAGATCTCGTTGCTCGTGTCGAGGACACGGAGAGTGCCTCGGCTAGAAAGCTAGGACGCGAAGACGAATGAGCCTGGAGTCTGAAAACTGGCCGATCGTATTTTCGCGAGAGAGTCGGAAATCAGGAACGGAATGGAAACGGGAGGGTCAAAAGGTAGCAGTGCGCGGTTGGAAGCTTTGGTCCTCCCTCCGTGGGATCCCGAAGCCGGCAGGTTGCGAGGAGGCACAGAGGAGCCGAGGTGGTTCGTAGGAGAGTTAAAAGAGGAAAAGAGGGGCTCGGTTGCGTCTCGTTGCCGCCGAGCGGCGCTCACCTGCCTAGTCCGCAACAGTCTCGTACGGTTCGCTCTGGCCAGGAGCTTCGTCTCCGATCACGGACTAGCGATTCTCCTCTCCTCTCCCCTACCATCGACCACTTTCCACCTCCGCACGATCGCGCTGCACCACGTGAGCTTTTCGATCTTCTTCCTACTCTCCGCTACTTTTTTTCTCGCTCCCTCGTTCGTGCCCGTCTTCCCTCCCTTTCCCTCCCCTTATAGTTTTTCCTGGTATCTTTTCGTCTTATCTCGCCTTCAATACCATATCACGCGTTTCCCGCATTGTCCAGGAAATTCAAGATTTATCGGATCTTTTCCAGAGGGATGTCCTCTCGACAGCGAATTCACGATTTCGGTCACGAAACCGTCGACAGTGAGGATACCGCGGCGATGGTTACGTCGATGTTGGTGGTGTAGTGAAGGTAGTAACGGTGGTGTCTCGAGGCAAGCCGAAAGAGGAAACTCTGGCGGAGGAGGAGGAGGAGGAGGAAAAGAAGCGAAACTAAAAGAAGAAGAGGAGAAGGAAGAAGAAGAGAAAGAAGACGAAGAGAAAGAAGCAGATGAAGGTGAATGGTGGGGCTGTCTTCTCTACTCCTTGGTACATTTCTGGTGGGGGTAAGGCAACACTCAAAGTTCGTGGTGACGTAGTTCTGGCAGGAACGCGACGCGTTTTTGTCCCCGCCGGAAGGAAATAACAGTTTCCTAGATTCTTAGATCGCTTCTTGTCTTTGGTGTTTTCGTCGAGCATCGCGTGTAAAAGGCAGCGGCAGAGAACGTGGTGAGAGGACCGAGGAAAGATAGGCAAAGAGACGGAGAGACGGGATCAAGAGAGAGGAGGTAAACGAAAGAAGAGCAAGAAGCGGAGTGACGGGAAAAGGGTGGGGAGGGGTATCTAGTTCAACAAACCGGAAGCGGAGGGTTTCTCTCTCTTCCGGGAATTTCTCAGCCGTGACAAGGACCATTTGCGATTCCAAAAGATTACGCGTTGGCCGAGTCAAAGCAAACGAGAAAATTTGCTTGTTTTTTCACGGATAGCAGCAGTGGCCTCCGGAAGGAAAGATCATGAGGATTTCGCGTGGTCAATATTTGTATCCATTCGTGTGTTTCAAAGAGGCTCTTTCGCTTTGATCGTTAAACTCCTCTCGAAGCTGGGGAAGAAAGAAACGGAGGAACGGTCAGAGGAGGAAGAGGAAGAAGAGGGCTGCAACGACGCCGAGGAAGAAGACGAAGAAGAAGAAGAAGAAGAAGAAAACGATCGTGCTCCGGTGAAGTGTCGGCAGAAGCAAAGACCAGATACGAGAAAGTAGTCGAGAGTGGACGGCCGAGGAGATCGGGTGCTCGATAAAGAATTTCACCTTCGAGATCGAGAAAAAAGGATCCTCGAGTACCTTTCAAGAGGAGAGGGCACGTGTGATCCGAGACGCGTTACCGGTATACCCGACACGTCACGCGCAAAAGTCGTCCAATTTTTACGCCGTAGGTCAGGAATCTGGTGGCGCGAGAGATACGATCGGCGTCGATTTTCGTTCTTCTTCGTCCCTTTCAGTCGAGAACGTCTCGAGATCCGGTCTTTTCCGATATCCAGCTGAACCACAGGAGGCAGACAACAAGGGGAAAAACAATCGGCACTTGTCGAAGCTGCACGCCGAGGGGCGGAGGGGATGGAGATGCGCCTCGTTCTCGTGACGATCTGCCTCCTTCTCGTTACCCCCATCGCCGGCTCGTTCTGGTACGTAGTACTCGTTTCTTCAATCGTTTTCATTCTCATTTGTCTAACGAATATTACGAAAAGAAATTATCTTTCCGAAATTGTGACATTTTTCGCCTTGAGTGGATCCTTGCTCGTGCGTCTCGAGCAAC